CGACTTGCTCTCACGTACATGTCCGGCCTTGGCTCACTTGTCGAATAACTCATCGATGTAATCGACTTTTTTCTTCGGCAACGTCCATTGCCCGGTCACAAAATACTTGTTGTCAGGCTCCAGGTCAATCTCGTGTCTGGTGCTCCTATCGGCCGGTAGGCGGCTCGACACTTCTTCTGGAAACACATCACGGTGTTTCATAGAACATCATAGAACGGGCTATCCTTCAAGGCATCCCAGCCTTTAGTAGCAAACCGTTTCTTCTTTTCGGTTTTCAAGAAACTATCGTCCATTGTGAACGACTAGCAACAGTCCACCACGTTCTCTTCTGGAACTGGTGCGGCTATCATGAATCTTTCCTTCCTTTAGTTCGGACAAAAACAGATCCCACGTCATCTCCGAGAGATTTACTATCTCCTCTGCAGATGCTAAGACAAGTTGTAGCAGCTCAACTGAGGATGCCTCCGGCATCTTGTCTTCGACGACCTCGAACAACTCGTTCGTAGTTCCGTCCTCTTGGACCGACACTGATCCAAGGGTCACTCGTTTCAACGTACCCTTGATCGTCTTAATACGTCTGGTGCTCGTTCTTCGAGTCACCACGACTTTTGACCTGGAAGAAGATGTCGTTGCTATCTCAGCTAACGCACTACTTCCAACCGCACCAGGATCATGGCTCTGTGCCGGTTCTTGTGGCGCTTGATTTACTGTCATCCCACCATCAACTGCCACAGGCTCTCGGATCTGTGCAAAATCATTGGACGCATGACTACTTGTCATCGCCCCATTGACTACACCAGTCTCCTCGAGCTGGGTAGGAATTTGTGTCGTCTGACTTCCTGTAAGGACACTCTCAACTACTCTAGGCTCAACGAGCTGGGTAGTACCTGGTGCCGATTGACATACCGTCATCACACCCTCGACTGTGTTGGACACAACATCAATCGCATAAGCTTCTCACAGGAGCACATCCTTTCCGGTGTCCTGAGTAGAGCTAGCGACTGTGCGTGTACGCCAGTCTCCATGGTTGGTGTTTAGCCAACCAAGGCATGCCTAGGATGAGGTCATACGGACTCTCCATACCTAGCACTGTGAACTTCTCTTTACAAGAGAAGTCACAAAAGCTGAAGGCGAGTTCACCTTGAACTCCCTCCGATTTAACGAGCGCGCCGCTCGATAAACTAACGGTCGCATCTTCTCGCTTGCCATCCTGGCAAAGCGACTCATAACTCGCCGGAATATTTTTCAGAGACGCGAGTTTCACAAAATTCTGTGATGCACCCGAATCAACGAGAAGGGTCAAAACTTGGTCATAGCCTCGTATTCGAGCGCTATCGACCAAAAGGGTTTAGGTCCGACCTTTCGGAACCTCAGGGACTATGCTACACATTTTTTGATCACTGTGAACTTAGAGGTAGCTTCAGAGTCCGCGATAGTAAGGCATCCCGCCCCTACTGCGCTCCCGCATTTCCCGACTTGTCGGGGTCGAATCTGAACCCGTGCGACGTGCACGGCTCTTCGAACCATGGTAGACTTCTTTCTGTCATCCTTAGCACCAGCAGCAAGTTTGGCATAGCAGCGAGCCATCATATGGCCTCGCTTGCCGCACTTGTAGCATATAACATCTGCATTGCCTAACTCCATAAGAGTGGCATCCGACCTCTCGGTCGACGGCCTGTAATAGGCTGTCGCCGAAAGGGATTGCTCCTCAACCATGGCAATTTTAATTGCCTCCTCAATCGTATTTGGAACCTTTTTAAAAAGGGCCTGACGCGATGGGCCGTGCCGTAGTCCATTTTTGAACGTAAGCACCTAAATACGTTCTGGTATCGGTTCCCCATTAATGGACGCCGACAGCAAACGCATCTCCTGCAAATACTCTTGCAGAGATCGTTTCGCCTGTCGTTCTCCAAAGAAGCGCGCCATAAGCAACACTTCGTTGTTAGGTGGCTGATACATGGCACGAATATTTGACTTAAAGATCGCCCACGATGGAAACGCATTAGCATTTGCCATCAGCGCAGAGTATGCCTACTCTGACGCTATGCCACGGAAATTTGACATGGCTTACGACACCATCCTGGTGTCGTCCTCGATGAGCTGCGCCATACCGCATTGCTCCACTGCCAAAAGCCAGTGAACAATCGTATGTGGGGCAGTCCCATCAAACTTTGGAAGGTCCATCCGAATGGGCCTTGGCTGATTAGAACGGGCAGAGAGCGTCTCAACAGTTCTGTTGAGCGCCTCATTACGTGCTTGCTCACGCAAAAGCTCATTTTGAGTCTTATTAATGCACTTAGCGGTGGCTTGGCTGTTTGTCTCAGACGCGTTTCTACTCTGCCCGAGCACAAACGCCTCAAATTGCTCCAACTGAGCAACATGTTGCTCAGGAGGACAATGCAAGAGGTTGACCAGGGCTTGTTCACGAATTACCCTGCACCATATGCTCTGCCAACTCCCTATGGTGTTGGTAGAGGTGAGGGAATTCGCTCCAGTCCATATTAATGACCATCTCAACCACGCGCACGCTCAGAGAGACGGGTCGTGGAAAGGATTACTAGTGCTACCAAGTGTAGACGGGCAATTTTACGAAGTTGCCTCGTGCTACTAGCACACACCTTCAGCACAAGCGAGTAAGCGGTTAGACGTCTTACCTTCGCGTGCGAGGGTGGTTGGGAGGTTGGTCGACTGCTTAAGCAGTCGTACCACCAGTTGCCTCTTGCTTAAGCGATAGTGCAGCGAACTTCTTAACAACAAGTCACCGACGGTACGCAGAAGCTTTTTCAGCTTCTCGTGCGTGGTGCTTTCATTTTCGTAAATTCAAGACTGAGTTATATTTAATGGATTATAATTAAATATAAACTTAACTAATTATGTAAAGATCGGATACGCGACTCTTTTAAAGCATATCCTGACGCATGAGCTTAAATCTAGATTTAAGCTTGCGAATGACGTCCTTCTGAGACGTCGCGATGCCTAGCTTCAACTAGCGTCATCCCTTCCCATGTGAATCCATCAATGAATATCACATTCACGAGGGTGGATCACATTTGTGTAACGCACCCAAGTGACGGATCAAAAGTAATCATGGATACTTTTGAACCTTACACTAAGTATATTACTTAATGTTTACGTGTAACTAGATGCCCTTTTACAGATAGGGCTCACCCTGTTATCGTCAAGGTGATCCATCGGCACTGTCGAGAATGAGGCTATGTCATAAGTTGCAAACGAAGATTAGCATTAGGAAAAGCACGCATCAAGGTGATCCTTATAACCTATAGACTGTTAAGACTAGAATGGAAGCATCAATAACCTTCTTGACGCAAACAGTCGATGCCTTGAGATTGTACAAAAGGAAAATGATACGATTTACGTTTGGCAGGTATGAGTCAGCCATCCATTACACAAGACGTAAGCTTGCTTGGTCCGGGTCCGGATCGGATCGGTTGCTGGCATATACGGCGACAGAAGCGTTGAAAGGGCACAAAGCCGTACGCAACCATTATCTGCTGGATAGCCATCTACGGTGATGAGATTTATTACAATATCCGTGGCGGTGCTCGTATCTCCGATCATCATGTGCTAACGTCGTAGCTCTGGAAATGACGGACATTCTCCCAATTTTGTGGTATTTGGTGCGCATTGCGGCTACTTTGAAAACGACGGCGAGGCGTTCGCTGGTGTAAACATCGCAGTTCACCCAAAATGTAATGCCAAAAGTGAACTTTTAACCTTGCCGTGTTGACGCTAAGAGTACGTTCACGATTAGGCCAGTGGTGCTTCTGAAGCCTAGTACTGTAGTCAAAGCTGACACGACGTGACTGTGATGGGTTGGGATTCCACAGCACCTGGTAGTAAGATCTCCGACGAGCTGCACAAGCTGGATCAGAGGGTGATCACAACGAGGCCGAGGGAAGTAATTATCTCAGCATGAAGTGCCACGTTTTCGAGGCTGCTCAATGTGCGCTTTGCTAAAATATGTGGTTTGGGCGTTGCTCGAGCCATTAAAGATTGTCAATCTGGCGGCTACAAGAACTTTTCGTTAGATCAGGACGGCAAAGGTGGCTTTTGCCTCACTAACCATTAATCGTGCTACACCGCCACTCATCCCTTCAACAAATCTTAGCAGCCGCAAGACACTTAAAGCTCCAAGTCCAAGATTACGATGACGACCACCTTCGTCAAGAAGGCCGAATCGTCTGGCAGCGTCATCTGCACGGCCAAATTCGCTGGGAATTGGTCCAGCAGATAGTATTCTGCCGAAAAAGAGACTGATGGCGACCGTGCACGCGGTGAAAGGCCCATTGGATTTGACGGAGACGTAATTATTTGCTGACATAAAGGCACTCGGACTGATCGCTAGGTGAAAGTCAATACAGATTTCTGGTTGGCAACGTCGGCCATACACGCCTGGAACACTCCTCCGAGACTTCTACCACGAACCGTATATCCATACCCATCGACTTCACTGATTTTAGATGGAAACGGGGCGAGAACCTGGATAGCTTTGATGAGCGCACCTTGAGGCTGTAAACGCTCAGTGAGCCGCGAGATAAGGTGCGACAACTCGTGATCTTGCCAAGCCGTTTTTCATTGGAACGCAAGTTGATCTTGTCGTTTATTTATGGAGTAACGACACCATGATCGAGGTGAAGGAGAAGTTACTTAAAGAGTGCGAGTGCTTGGAAAGGAAGGAAGGCACGACCGAGCGCTGATAGCCACCGTGAACAACAGTAGTTTCAACACCAGCAACTATCGGCAACAGTACGTGCCGTCTCTGACTTAGAAGAAGGTCAGTCTATCGGCAAATCACAGGGATTCTATTGACTAAATTGCTGCTATATGCAATAGCTTTGGTATAAACGAAAGCAACACTTTTTTTAGCAGATAAAACGAAACAACAGTTTTTTAGCAGATAGAAATGAAGCCGCTTTTTTTCAGCAGATAGAAATGCATTTACTGCATTTACAAAGCTACATTTTATTCAACAGATAGAAATGCACTCGCCCGGTATGGGACGTCAGACGCTGGACTCTCTGTACCCTCAGGCGCGTAAGCTGCAGTTTGAGCTGAATATGCAGATGAGCTACTTGGAATCTGGTCGCACAGGTGGCAAGACGGACGCAGAACTGCAGGCCGAAGCTCGGGGGAACTTGAACACGCTGGAGCAATTACTATGGCAATTAGACTCGCTTGTACAGAGGAGTATTCAGCCTACTGATAAGGACACGTGGATTAAAAAGCTGCAACAATTAAGAAGTGAGACTTTTGCATTGGGCAGTACATTGGAGCAACATATTTATAGCGTCAGTCGGCGAGCGATGGAGGCGAGAGAGAGAGAGAGTCTCATGAGCAGACGCAATGCTGTAAGAAGTCTAGAATACGACAACATGACGCTTAAGCTGGGATCATACTGACATGGTAATGTTTTTGTGGTTATTGTTCAAACAGGGCTTTGACAGTGGCAATGGGGCCATGTACGCTGCACAGGAGTCGGAAAGTCTACAGCGATCTTCACAGATGGTCTCAGATTTGACAAGTCTGTCACAGTCAATACTTGGAGATTTGGGAGAACAACGTAATCGAATGAAGGTGTGGTCTGTACGAGTATTCGAGTGAAAAATAGTGAGACGATGTGATTGAGAATGTTATTGTTTTATTTGGACAGAATGTACGCACAAAGCTGCTGGATATTGCGAATAGACTAGGTCTGTCTAGTTCGCTGCTGCGGGTGATCGAGCGGCGAGACACCGTAGACTTTTGGATTGTAATGGGCGGCATGGTCTTTACGCTCGTGTTTCTATACGTGTGTTACGCGTATGTGACCTAAGGCTAGATTGGTTTTAACAGAAAAAATTGCCTTTACTGCCTAATCTGTTAACTTGTCTTAACTGATAGATTCCTATAATATCTTTTTAGACAAGTTTTTCTGCATCTAATTTTAACCAATTGCATTTCGCCTCTGTATTTAATTCGAAAAAGGTGAGCTAAAACCAGCCTAAGGCATGCCCGAGGCAGACCGTTCGAGCGTGCGTCGCTCCCGTCGCTCTTGTCGCTCTCCTTCTCACTCTCGATCAGTGTCTCGCTCTCATCGCTCCTCTCGCCATCACTCTTCATCGAAACGACGTAGTCCGAGTCGCAGTCGCAGTCGAGAACGGTCGCGACGTACACATCGTCACAGTCGGAATTCCCGTCGTCATCGCTCTCGTTCTCGTTCTAAGGATCATCATAAGCGCAGAATACATGATAGTGATAATAAGCGAGTACGACATCGTTCGCACTCTAGATCTGCATCTAAATCCAGGAAGAAGCGGCAGAATGAGAGCAAAAAAGAGAAGGAAGAAACGACGAAGACGAAGATCTCGTCATGTACTTTTGAGACAGAAAAGACAGCAATGGACGAGCAGAAAAAGGGTATTGCTGAGAGTACGGAGGAAAAGCTGGAGACGCATTCATCACCAAACGTTGTGATTTGTGGGAAGAAGGAAGAAGAGAAAGCAATTGTAAAGAAAGAGCAGACGAAGAATGCTGTGAATGTGTCGCATTCTGTTGCGAAGCAGGGATCAGAGATGGATGAAAGGAGTTTGTCGAGTCGATTAAAGCCAATTATGGATGTCAGCTCGATCAAGAAGGATATTCTAAAGGCTCTGGCAGACGCGAGAAGCACGATTGCAGGGATTAAAAAGAGCGGTGTGGGCGGTGATTACATCACGACAACTCCAACGTCAGCACCATCATTGGTTTTGAAGGAGGTTGTAGCGGACGAAGAAGATCAGGATGCGATTTTGCCGAAGAAGCAAGCAATGGAGCTGGTTGGATCGCCACAGAATACAGATCAGTCACCGAAAAACACGATCTCTGGAGAAGGTACTTCTGACAGTGGATACACTGCGGATGAGTTCGACATGTTTTCGATGGCGGCTCTAGACGATCATGATGGCGCGATGGACGGTACGAATGGTGTTGCTGCTATCACGGTGGACGAAGTGTCGCTGCAGTCGAGCCGCGATGACGAAGAAGGGTATTACTATACCACTATTGGAGAGGTGCTGAATGGAAAATATCGCGTGCTTGGTATTGTTGGCAAGGGCGTGTTCTCCACGGTACTGCGTTGTCAGTGCATTACTCCTTTGGAGATTGCAGGCGGCAAAGCACTAAACTTCGTAGCTATCAAGATAATTCGAAACAATGACATCATGCGCGATGCCGCGCAAACAGAGCTCAAGGTATTGAATGAGCTCCGAGAGCGCGACCCTCGCGACAAAAAGCATTGCATACGGCTACTAGATTCGTTTTCTCACCGCAGTCACGTCGCGATGGTATTTGAACCGATGCAAATGAACGTCAGGGAGGCCATGAAGAAGTTTGGCGGAAAAGGTGGCATTTCGATCCAGGCTGTATGCGTCTTCAGTAAGCACCTGCTCATGGCGCTTAATCATTTGGAGACGTGTGGGGTAATTCACGCTGGTACGGATGCTCTATTTGTAACGGGTAATGTGTCCGTAGCTTTACGGGTACCAGTACTTATTGTTAAACGTCTTGTTTGTAGATATTAAGCCGGACAACATTCTGCTTGATGAGAAGCAAACGACGATCAAACTTTGCGATTTCGGATCCGCTTATAAAGCGGACGATGGGAAGCAAGATCCGACACCATATTTGGTCAGCCGTTTTTACCGCGCGCCCGAGATCGTGCTGGGCCTCGTTTACGACAAAGCGGTAGATATGTGGTCTGTCGGCTGTTGTTTATACGAAATGTTCACTGGCAAAGTTATGTTTCCAGGGAGCACGAACAACGAGATGCTCAAACTTTTTATGGAGCTCAAAGGCAAGATCCCGAACAAGCTGATCAAGAAACACCGCCAGACGTACATCGACCATCTTGAAATGGAGCCACACTTTACAGAAGATCTCAAGTTTTGCAGTCGAGAGAGCGACCGTGTCACAGGTAAGCAAATACATTTGATGCTGAGAAGTGTCTCACGCGTCTAACAGCTTGTATTTTTTCGTTGCATCCAATTAGGTAAGCCCGTTTTGCGCTTGATGGACACCTTTAAGGCGAAGAGCGATCTCATTAGCAGTCTAATGGTTGCTAAAAGTGCCACTGACGACCGAAAGCTGGTGCTGGAACTCCGGAACCTGCTGGATCGGATGTTCACGCTGGACCCGTCGAAGCGCATCTCGGTTAAAGACGCACTGGCGCACTCGTTTGTGAAGGGAGGACAAGAACTGAAGACGCAACGATAGGTGCTCATTGCGAAAGGAAGCACTCTTGACGGAAGTTGTGTTACCTCACAGCTACATTGAAACACGTACTTACGATTCAAAACACTGATTTCTCTGGTTGTTGTCTACGTTGATACTCAGCATTTGGAAGCATCAGAGATTTGCACGTGCATACACTTGCGCGTCAGCACGCAGCGACTGACGTCATCAAGAGTGTAAAAAGAACCCAAGATAAAGTCTTAGAAGTCATCCTGTTCTAGTGTTTGGATGCATCTTTGCACCATCGCACTACTTAAAGCTCGTTCTACTCCCTCCTGTATCACAATCAAAAACACCACAACGACCCCAGTCGTCAAGTCTTGAGCTTCTTATGATGTTCCGAAAACTATCTGTATCCATTATTCGCCAGGGAGGACGTCATCAATCACAAGTGGCTTCTGTGTCATTGACAGTCCCTGGTTTGTCATCTGAAGTGCGTCATGACTGGACCAAAAAAGAGGTGGAAGCTATCTTTGACCAACCATTACTGGAGCTCATCTACAAAGCTGCTACTGTACATCGCATGCATTTTGATCCGACCGAGGTGCAGCAATGTACTTTGCTTTCTATTAAGACGGGAGGCTGTACAGAAGACTGTAAGTACTGCTCCCAGTCATCTCATCATAAGACATTTGTCAAGCCTGAGCCAACGAAAAAGGTGAGTTTTGTATCGACAATTCCGGGATTTGACACGAGAAACTTATCAGAATGTGAGTTGTAGGTCCAAGAGGTGGTAGAAATGGCGCGGCGAGCTAAGGCAGCAGGTAGTACACGTTTCTGCATGGGCTCGGCATGGCGCGAGGTGGGCAAGAAGAACGCTTTTAGACACATTCTTGACATGGTGCGTCAGGTCAAGGATATGGACCTGGAAGTGTGTTGCACACTCGGTATGCTCACAGAAGAACAGGCTGTCCAACTCAAGGAGGCTGGGTTGTCAGCATACAACCACAATCTGGACACCAGTCGTGAGCACTACGCCAAGGTCATCACAACTCGCACGTACGACGACCGTCTCAAGACCATCGAGAACGTTCGCAAAGCCGGCATCTCGGTCTGCTGTGGCGGCATTTTGGGCCTCGGTGAGGAAAAGATTGACCGGATTGGTCTGCTACACACATTGGCCACCATGGATGAGCATCCCGAGTCTGTGCCCGTGAACGCCCTCGTGTCGGTGGAGGGCACGCCTCTTTTCGACGAGGATATTGCGCCCGTTACTGCGTCTGACATGGCGCGTGTGATTGCAACCGCACGTATCTTGATGCCCAAGACCATGGTGCGGCTGAGCGCGGGACGCATGTCTTTTACGGACTCGGAGCAGGGCATGATGTTCATGGCTGGTGCCAACTCGATCTTTAACGGCGACACGTTACTGACGACGGCCAATCCGGCGTTTGAAAAGGACAAGAAGTTGTTCGAGAGTTTTGGACTGAAGGGCAAGCCGGCGTACCAAGCACACAAGTCCACACCTTATATCGTCAAGGTGATCCACTCGGCACCTGTCGAGACTGAGGCTGTGGCCTAAGTCTGTTAAGATTAAGTTGCGGGCATCACTCAATATCCCCATTGACGCAAACAATCGACGCTTTGTGAATGTGCAAAGGGAATTGATATTATTTACGTATGGCAGGTATGAGTCAGTCATCCTTTACGCACAAAGCTTAGTTCGACTTCTTAGCCTTCTTGGTCCGATGTCGGGTCTTCTTGGAGACTGAACTATCCTCCGTCGGACGCTTCGTATTCGACTTCTCCTTCATTGTCTCGTCACCACTGTCATCCTTTGTATTCACCTCTTCTTCATCCGACTCATCGTCCGGATACAAGTCAGACATGTGGTCTTCCTCTTCCTCTGGCTGCTTTTTGCTTGCTTCGACTCCCTCCAGTTCGTCATCTCCATCGTCTTGTTTCTCGTCCTCGTCGTCCGAGTAAATAACTTGGCTGTGCTCAAACTCAAAGGCATCCGCATCAAAGTCCCGATTGGTCTGCATCTCGTCGTCCTTGCTTTTGGTCACTGTAATCTTCACGTGCTCTTTCATCCGCTTGTACCGTTTGCCCTGCACGTGTTTCTCCACTTCCGACGGAATACGATTCAAAATTGTGTTCGTCACGTTGCAAAACAAACTCTTGGGAAGTCTCCGGTGTGGTACAATGTACGGCTCGTACTGCGAGTAATCGTGGCAGTACCAGTCCCTGGCTTTCAGGAATTTCTTGGACATGAGGTGCGTCGCGATGATGTCAGCGCGCATCGGCATCTCGTGTTGCGTCAGTTGACACTTGATACGCACACGCTTTTTTTCACCTTCACCAGTCTCGATTATCTCCAAGTACTTGTGCTCGCTGAGAAGCTGCTGCACTGCAGGCTCTACCATCGAGGACGTCATCACGAATGAAAACGCTAAATAAAAACAATCGATCGAGGAGCTCCAGTCGAATAGTTTGTCTCGTTTATGCCTTGTTCGAAGTTACATAATACATGGACAGGTATAGTTGATTGACGCTTTGACGGCGTTGACCGACAATTTTGACGTGTGAGAGCCTTCACGCCATAGTATGTCGGCCAACGGCATTATAGAGAGAGGCAGACGAATTTTTTTAGCTTGTAGTGGTAGCAGAATGTTTGGTAGTTCCTATGCCTGGTTAGCAACGCCAGTTCCTCGTCCGCTTGCTAAAAGGTCACTCAGTTGCGTTGTGGTGATGCAAATGCTGCTAAGGATGTACCATATGCGTTTCCACACGGTGGCGTATGCGGCCGCTTCGACTGGGTGGTGTCTGGTGAGCTATTCCTGGACCACCTTGATTAGTCCTGGCGTACGTCTGCTTACGCTGTTTTGCAGGGAAGCTTTGAAGCTGTCGAAGCTTTCATCGTTCTCCCGTCTAGTGGCAAATAAGCTTCTGCCAGGAGGCTTTACGCGCATAGGCATAGATGTTCCAGTATTCCTTTCACTCCTTGGCAGCATTGAAGTTTGTGGCACTGTAATCTTGCCCTTGGTCTGGACAATAGTGTCATTTGCCTCACTGTCACGCTATACACGACTTGAAATTTTATACGCGGTAAGCTCATTCCTATGAGCCCAGAGATTAATTGACGTCTGCTATAAACTCCCACGTGAGAGTCCTGGCAGTGTCTCCAGTCACATGTTATAATGGAGTGACAATACGTGAGTAAATGTAAGTTTCTAAATTGACGTTTCTAAATTGACGTTTTAACATCGTGCCACCGATGCGCATCAACGTATCCATGATCAGGACAAGACGGTCGTACGAAGGTGCATGGCTCCGCGCCACACATTGTGCATAATGTTCATTTCTAAAATTTACTGCTCCACGTGACATCAATTGATAATCTTGACTTATGTTTGCTCGCGTCACTTCACTCACTGCTTTGACGCTACGTCGCACTTACTCGTCAGCAACTTTTGGTAACCAGAAAGTGACCGTGCTGGGTGCCGCGGGAGGTATCGGCCAACCCATGTCATTGTTGCTCAAGGATTGCGACCATATCAAACATCTGAGTCTTTTTGACGTGGTAAACACACCCGGTGTGGCCGCGGATATTGGTCATATTAACACACACGCCAAGGTGACGGGCCATGTGGGTATGGAGGAGGTGGGTGAGGCTCTTCAGGGCACTGACGTCGTGGTCATCCCGGCTGGCGTGCCTCGCAAGCCTGGCATGACGCGCGATGACCTGTTCAACACGAACGCCGGCATTGTACAGTCGCTGGCCGAGGCCGCTGCTAAGCACTGCCCCAATGCCATGATGCTTATCATTGCCAATCCTGTCAACTCGACCGTGCCTATCGTAGCTGAGACTTTTAAGAAGGCAGGCGTGTACGACCCGAAACGCCTCTTTGGCGTCACGACGCTGGACGTTGTTCGCGCCGCGTCTTTTGTGGCTGAGAACCAAAAGTGGAACCCACGCGACACTAATGTCAAGGTCATTGGTGGTCACGCTGGCACCACCATTCTGCCACTACTGTCGCAGCTTGAGAATGCCAAGTTTTCGGACGAGGATATCGCCAAGCTCACCCACCGCATCCAATTTGGCGGCGATGAGGTCGTGCAAGCCAAGAACGGCGCGGGGTCAGCCACACTTTCGATGGCGTACGCCGGTGCACGCTTCACTGTACGTCTGCTGGATGCCATGAATGGTGCCAAGGACGTCGTCGAGTGCTCGTACACGCAGAACAACGTGACCAAGCTGCCATTTTTCTCGACACCCGTGACGCTCGGCCCTAACGGTGTGGAAAAGGTGCACCATTTTGGTGAGCTCTCGTCTGTGGAGCAGGTCAACTTTGACGAGATGATTGGGGCTCTTGAGGGTCAGATCAAGAAGGGTGTGGACTTTGTCAATCAGAACTAAGTGCAACGAAACACGGCAAGCAGACGGACAAGCTGGCGCTTGAGTTTATGCTTACCTCCGTTTCTATCATACCACTTGCCACCATTCGTGAAGTGAATGCAGCGGACCGTCAGTGCTGCTGATCACATAAAAGTAACATTGAATACGGACTTGGTCGAGTATTGCAGAGCGAGGCGCACAGGTCTTGAATGTAAAGCTTGATGCGGTGATAATCTCAAACTAAGTCTTTCACAACACAAGATCATTTCTTGACGAGTTCAGCCTGTCTTGCCCATCTGTGTGTCGCTGCTGAAAGATCACTGCTCGACCCAATGTGTCACCTAAATAGGCCTAATGATAAGCGCTCACTGTGTTACCCAATTAGGCCTTAATGATAAACGCGACAAGAGTGTAGACATTGGAGACACTCGCATTGCATTCGACGAAGTGCTAGCTATTCAATCAGAACATCATCGCCGGCTCCGTTCAAATTCTCGTAGAACACTGGATCACCCATGTCGCTAAGGCAAACAAACTTGCCCTGGTCACCACCAGCGCACCAACCTCCTTTTACAGGCCTCGTTGGTAATCATCTAGCTTGCGCAACTCGTCGCGGATCTTGCTACCAGGTGCTGTGGAATCCCAACCCATCACATTCACGTCGTGTCAGCTTTGACTACCGTACCAGGTTCCAGAAGCAACACTGGCTTAATCGTGGAAGTACTTCCAGCGTCAACACGGCAAGGTTAAAAGTTCACTTTTGGCGTTACATTTTGGGTAAACCGAGATGTTTACAACAGCGAACGCCTCGCCGTCGTTTCCAAAGTAGCCGCAATGCGCACCAAACACCGCAATATTGGGAGAATGTCCGTCATTTCCAGAGCTACGACGTTAGCACATGATTATCGGAGATACGAGCACCGCCACGGATATTGTAATAAATCTCATCACCGTAGATGGCTATCCAGCAGATAATGGTTGCGTACGGCTTTGTGCCCTTTCAACGCTTCTGTCGCCGTATATGCCAGCAACCGATCCGATCCGGACCCGGACCAAGCAAGCTTACGTCTTGTGTAATGGATGGCTGACTCATACCTGCCAAACGTAAATTGTATCATTTTCCTTTTGTACAATCTCAAGGCATCGACTGTTTGCGTCAAGAAGGTTATTGATGCTTCCATTCTATCTATCTTAACAGTCTATAGGTTATAAGGATCACCTTGATGCGTGCTTTTCCTAATGCTAATCTTCGTTTGCAACTTATGACATAGCCTCATTCTCAACAGTGCCGATGGATCACCTTGACGATCCATGTAACAGGGTGAGCCTTATCCATATCAGTGACACTATAACTAAGTGCCAATGCGAATATTATCTTAGCTGATAATATTGTCCTTGCATCTCGTATAAGTTGGAGATGCCCTCTAATTGACTAATTATAGGCCATGATATCAGTCACCGCGCTGACCAATGACAGATGGACGAGATAGTCAGCATACATATTAGTAGTTATATATAGTTAAAGTAAGGTCACAGAAGATGTAATTTATTAAAGACTTTCACAATATTACATACAGTTCTCCATTTTCCTACAACTAAACGCATTCATTTTGTTGTATAGCTTTTTCTGCTTCCGTTAGTGCACGTAAGGTTTATAGGCATTTTCTTACACTGACATAGTGCATTGTGGCTGCAACGGGGAACCCTCCCCACCGATGTTTCAAAAGATCTGAAACTTGACGAAGCAGGGACAATTTTCTAGGAGATGTGCGCATGTTCAAGTGGATTAAATACGTAAATATGTTTAATGCCAAACACCTCAAGAATAAAGGCTTAGCGAGCGTGGGGTGAGAGGGCTCAGCGAGCCTTTCAACTATACTGACATAATGCCCCGTTACACCTGGTAGCACTCCGTGGTCCATTTAACGACCACGACACATCCGCTATGATACCAGCAGATGTAGAACGTCATCACAAAACGCGTAATGGCTTCTTCCATTCGAGTGAACTCAAATGGCAGGCGGTACAGCGTATGGCTGGAACCATCGGCAAGACCGCCGTCGGTGCCAGGTTGCTTTCTTTGAGTGGAGACGAGCAGCATGCAATCGTCGCCAAGCTCAATCAAACATGAACGTGATGAAGCGATGAAAATGCTCACCTTGCTACAGCAGCAAGGTGCTCTACAGGCTGAATCGTTGAGGCAGCAGGGTTCTCAACAGTCCGAACTGTTGAGACAACAGCTGCTGCTACCAGGCCGATGCATATGTGTCGGCCCGAATCCTTAAAGATTGACGTCTCCAAGTACGTCGAAGGCAACTCCTTATTAAGATGGCTCGTCGAGATCAACGACGCCAGGTTCGACATGGCGAACTTAACAATGCGATGACAATAAAGGTATGAGAGTAGTTTAGACCTTGGGCAAGGTACAACAATGTTGCCCACCACCGTGTCTATCGAAGGTATTCACATTGAAGGGGATGACGCCCAATTGGGACTAGGCGTCATCAAGACGTCACAGACGGACGTCATCAGCGAGCTTAAAGACGCTGATGACGCGTCTAAAGAGCCAGTCAATGCGTATATTAGCCAATCATCTTTTAGATATATATTTCGTAAATCTACATTACTTTCGACTCGAAAAACGAGTACCAGACGAATTAGGGTGATTGAAGGCACGTCGAAAAGAGTGACTTTGGATCAGTCCCGGTCCGATAGGACTGACCTCGGTCACGATAATCGAAATCGTCAGAGTCAAAATGCTAGAGCTGTTCCTATCCGAAGTGAAAGAAGGAAAAAATCGTGAGGTAGTCGCACCTATTCCAGAAAAGAACTTGGTAGACCATTCCTTGTCGTCCACGATGGACGATAGCGTTTTAGTGATCGACAAGACTATTCGTTTCGCTGCTCAAAATTGAAGGACAGTCCTGTTACGATGTTCTGTGGAAACACTGTGATGTGTTGCCAGAAGAAGCGCCGAGCTGCATTTGCACAACGCGTTTTTCTTTTGTTCGTAATTTTTGCCTCATTGTGCTGCTAACGATCGCTACTGACTTTTTGAAAAACTATGCGTGCAGAATGACATGTCTTCGGTGACGATGCAGTACGCTTTTTTTGTCTAGGTCGCTCCATTTTGGCGCTAGGCCGCTACATCTTATTCCATAGCAAATTAGGTATGTCACTACCCAGCTCGCGTTCCTATTTCTAGCCATGCCACAGTAACTTTCATGTACTCTCACTTTTTCAGGTGGTACCAACGCGTCAAACCTAGCATTCCAACCCAAAGTGTACATATAGCAACTCTTTGTTCGGGTCCACGTCCAGAAATTCTGGTCTTTGCGTGCTGCTCTCGACGGCAATGCAGGTTAGTAGTCAAGTAGAGTAACAACATGAGCTTCTTTCTTTCCTCCTCCTTGTTTTTTTCGTCTCTTCTTTTGTTTGCATCTTCTTTGCTGCAGCTTTTGTTCTTGTCGTACCATTATTTTATCATCTGCTTGAGTGATATCTTGGCCGCTCTATTGTGAGTGACTTAGCTTAAGGCGTCAGCAACCACTCTCACAGGTCTTCATAAGAATTAGTATCTTCTATATAATAAATGAATTGTATCCTTCCGTCCGTCCGTAGTGCTCCTTTTCCGGCATTTGGATTAGCTAATTTTACATTATTGGCTACTTTTGCATTGGCTGATTTTGCATTTTGCATCGATACTACCATGAGCAGATTTCCATAACAGAATATAGTCCATCCCATGTGTTCGTATTCCATGCTTTTTTATACAATACATCCTCGAAACGATGGGTACACATCAACCTATATACCCTTAATATATATTGCTACATCAAACACAGCATTTTCTTAAATATTAAATGAGATACATGCTTTAGATTCGTTTCAAATAAAATAAGCTCTCTGCTTTATTAGCTCACTAAAACATGGCAAGAGCAAGCGTTGTCATCAGGTTGAGCAAGCGTTGTCATCAGGTTGAGCAAGCGTTGTCATCAGGTTGAACTGGATTTAGTTGCAAAAAGCAAAGTGACTCCTATGTATTGCATCATACATATTAATTTACCAGAGTCAACCAAATATTCTTAGGTAATAGATGGGCACGAATATAAAAAAGCAGACTTTACTCACCATGTCCGTCGGAATGACAGGTACACATTGACCTTCGGAAAGACAGGTACACACTGACTTTCGAAAAGACAGGTAGGTACACATTGACTTTCAAATTTATCAATTTTCTTTATCGAGCTAAATATATAATAAGGTAAAATGATGGGCCAATATACCATCAGCGGAGGTTTTGCGTACGTATGCGTCGAAACGACGGGCAGCATCAAAAACTGCACACACAAAAGGAGCATAGGGTGACACACATAGAGAAAATCAACATTTGGTCTATATGCATTCTCTAACCTATATATTCGGTCCGCACGCACCTATCCGTCGGAACGACGGGCTCATCGACGGGCACACATTTACCTTCGGAACGACAGGTACCCCATGGACCTTCATACACACTGCATTTCATACTTATCAATTTGCAACTAGATTTTCTTAGGTAAAATGATAGTTCATTATTCTATCAGCGTAGACTTTGCGCACCATATCCGTCGGAACGACGGATAAACACCATAGTCTATATAATAATACTTTACTGTCTGTAAGTCTGTCTGTCCGTGCGATCCTTTTCCGGCATTCGGATTGGCTGATAATGTTTTTCGTATTCATTTTGCATTGGCTGATTTGACATTTTTGGCTCATTTTGCATTGGCTGATTTGACATTTTTGGCTCATTTTGCATTGGCAGAGTTTGCATTTTTGCATAATCATTACGTGAGCAGGTGGTCATAACAGATTTCAGTGGGTCTGGGTACGTGCTTCCTATATATAATCAATCCAAGAAAAGATGTGTACATTAATCTTCATCCCATAATTACTTGTTACTATGTCGAAAACAGCTTATAAGCTGAGGACGCAAAGGTTCGTATGCATTACAGCTTAAGGTGAACTCGAACAGGTGC